AACAAGCACACCAAAAACCTTCACAGAACGCTAAGAAACACACCACAAGCCTCACCGAACGTCTCCTTGCTACCGTGATCTCGCCCACAGGAAGCCGCGACCGTGTGGCAGCAGTGAAAATGGCCACGGATCCGGTTTGTTACCCGAGGTGGAGTTTGCAAACTGAGGTAAATTTTTGCAGCTGGAGCTGGTCGTAACCCGAAAAGTTCGTTAACAGAGGCGTTCGTAACCCGAGGTACCACTGTAGTTCCAAGACTTCCGCTGCCAGGTACATAAGTAGATATTCACTTCTTGTAACTTATTTAGAAGCAATCCCCGAGTACAATTTATTGTCCAGGGGCTACCTGAAAAGGTAGTCCTCAGCTTACTACCTTTCGTTCAGCAATCATTCAAAGTTACGATAGCGCTGAACAAAGGGATTTATGACTGGCACCCAAAGTTATGGCTGTTGCAGCACCTCGGTGGTCATGTCATCAAAACTCAGGTGCTTGGCACCCTCCTGCACTTATGATCGCAGGGGTGCTTCAACTCTCCTCACCCACCTATCTTCCCCACCATCTCTGCCCTTTTGGGTGCCCTGCACAATGGTATTCCTTGGTAGCGGCAACAGCCATGCTGGGGTTGAATTAGAAACCCAGGGCCCTCAGCAATCTCAAGCGGCTGCCGCCACACCCAGGCCTCTACTTCAGTCCCATTACATCCGGCACCACTGCTAAGGAGTGCTGCCTCGAGCCTTGCACCTTGGCCAGCCACTCCAACGCCACAGCGCAAAGCTCCAGCCACCCAAACAGGTCCTGCACGCCCAGCTGGCCTTCACCATTTTCTTCCCACTGCTGATGAGATGTGCCCAGCTTGCCTTATGCAAGGCAGCTGCTGGCCACACCAGCCCTTCTCCCCAAGGCTACTCGTGCCGTTCTCCAAATCGCACGCGTCGTTCTCCAAACTGCATGGCCTGTTCCCACCCTGCTTTGGAAATCCTTTGGAAAGATTCTGAAATCTTCCAAGGCAGCACGAGAATGGGCCTGCTTGCCATTCTCCAAAGTGCGCACCCCATTCTCCAAACGGTGCGCCCTGTTCCCACCCTGCTTCAGAAATCCTTTGGAAACATTCTGAGGCCTTCCAAGGCAGCGTGAGAACAGCGCGTGCGGCCTCAAGAAGAAGGGCAAGTGCAGCCGGCAGCTGCCTTGCATAAGGCAGGCCGGGCGTGCCTCATTAGCAGTGGGAGGAAAATGGTGAAGGTCAGCTGGGTGCAGCAGGGCCTGTGGAGTGCGGGCAGTGGGGGCTTTGTGCTGTCGGGGCTGGCCATGGCGCAGGGCTTGAGGCACTCCTCAGCAGCGATGCCAGCTGCGCTGGGACTGAAGTAGAGGTCTGGGAGCAGTGACAGCCGGCTGAGACTGCTGAAGGTCCCCAGCCTCTAATTCAGCCCCAGCACTGCCGCTGCCAAGTAATGCCTCTCTGCAGGGCAGCCAAAAGGGCCAAGATGGAGGGGAGATAAGCGGGTGGGGGGAGTTGAAACAAAGGCAAACACGGCAGGGCAGGAGAAGCATGAGGTACTTGCCTAACAACAGCACTGTCCTGGCCTAACAACTGCAACTGGAACTGCTGTTGCTAAGTTATGTTTCACCTAATGACCGCATCACTTAACGACAGAAGTTCCAGTCTGAACTTTGGTCATAAGTCGAGGACTACCTGTAACATGTAGCTTCCCCAGCTGCCTGCAAGTAATTATTCAAATGCTTTCTCTGCTGAAGGTGAATTGTTCAGTTAACTTGTCTTAAGCAATGAATAAAAAGTCTTACTGTCAGTGGTGTCTGAGTTATCACTGCTGATCGAGTATTTTCGTCGTTTCTCTTCCATCTGTAAGAAAAGAAATTGAACATTACATTTGCTGTTCAGGAAACTCATTATGGCACCAAATCACTGTTATCTCAGGAAATCCACACATCACATTAACCCAACACCACCAGTGAATACTTAGCCTAATGACAGTAAATTACCAGGGGCTTAAAAGAAAAAGAAAAATAACAATCACTAAATTTTAAGATGTAACATTATTTTCTTTTCAAGTCTCTGCCTCTTGGATGCATGAGTGTATTTTGCTTTGAATAACGCAACATGTCTCACAAGTATAACTTTCAAACCACTCCTATAACAAAACTCAAATTTAAGGGTTCTCCACTAAGGAGTCCAAAGAAATAATGCAACTAAAATGCTGTGGAGTCCTCCTCTTCTATTGGAACCAAAATGCTATCTTGCAGCCCCTTATTCAAGTTCAACAACCTACTGAATTAAGAGGGTGGGAGAATTCCTTTGAAAAGCATCTGAGACTAAAACTGCAATGGCATGGAACATGGCATGAATCGAAATTTAAGACAAGGATGGAAATGGTTTTATTTTGGAGCAGTTTCATTCATGTAAAAATGAAAAGGAGAAATGAGGACTTGGACAAGAAAGTAGCCCCTTGGTAATTGCCTGGAATCTAAACTATAGGCAGCTGCTCTACACAGAAAGTCAATGACATACAATGACCTACTATGCAGATTTCACAATTTCTCCAAAAACCAAAAACTAAAAACATTTGGGAATTTTGCTTAGGATATGAAGAGCATCACTCCAGAATGTAGTCAGTTCCTATTATGGGTACAACAAAACGCTGACTGTTTTCCTTCTACAACAGATTGTTGTAAAAATCTTTCCCAGAACTGTGTGTTCTTTGTTAGGTTTTCAGTATGAAGCAGGTAACTCAACTGGATCCTGTTTAGCTACTGTAATTATGTATACTGTAATGTAAAATTGATTGAGTTTAACTTTATTTTATTTTGCTAATCTTTAAAATGTATCTGTTCACAGCTTTATGCATAATTCTGCCATATTTACTTCACTGTATATCACTTTATGTATATACATCTATTTCTAGAGCACATCCATTTCTTCTGTGAAATCTATGTGGCAAACCATTTCACTAAATAGAATATCCTTTTTGCAGCCTTGATTTTAATTACATTCTACCCAGCTAATGACTTCAATGAATAGCAAATAAGAAAACCATTTAATGATATTTCAGTAAGTGTGGTCAAACCTGTTGCAACAACTTGAACAAACAATGGTTATATTCCACAGGTTGCTTCCACATTGTACATTAATACATGTGCAGAAGCAGCATAAGAAAAAGAATCTCAATCATCCAACTTCATCACTTTGTATGGGATGATTTTACATACAATTAAAAATGTAGGCATATTATTTGTGTGCATGGATAAATACCATTTTATAAACCAAAATAATGCATGAAGGGAATAATGTGCCAAATGCAATGCTGCATATCAGCACATACACCTAGAGCAGTATCTTCACGTTACAGTAGAAACCAGCAGATGAGCATTGGTAGAGAGCACATAAAACCGATCAGATCAGATGCATATCAAATACAGACTAACTGTATACATAGCACACAAATGGTGAGAAATCATTCCTAGAAGTGACAGATAGGGCACTCTCAATAATTAACTAATTGAGAGCTTTTTTTCTACTTTCCATGGAATCAGATAAAAGATATTGAGAGTAGAACAACATCAACAGTTCTGTGGCAGCACAGAATCCTTAGTCCAACTGTTCAGAAAAACATACAGATAGTTCTTGTTTAATGTCCACTCATTCAGCAACCATTCAAAGTTACAATGGTGCTGAATGAGGGCTTACAACAGGTCCTTGTAGCTGCGGCCATTGCAGCATCCCTGTGGTCATGTGATTGCCATTTGCAACCTTCACTGCCAGTTTCTGCAAGGAAAATCAATGGGGAAGCCAGCATGTGTCACAAATGGGTATCACATGACTGCGGGATGCTGCAACTGAGCGGGATTCACCTAATAACAGCAACTGGGACTGCTGGAACTGCCGCCTTAAGTCAGTGTGGTCACATGATGTTGCGCCTTACAACTGCATCACTTAGCGACAGAGTTCCCAGTCCCAATTACTGCTGGTAAGTTAGGACTACCTATAGTTATATTGGGGTTCATGTGAAATTGTACAGATGTAACCATAGCAGTACCCTGCACAACAAAAATGGGGCAACTGCATCCTCTATTTCCATATTCAGTAACTCAAACTGAACTCCAGTAGATCTGAAAGATACAAGAAGCGTGACATCCCTTAATTATTAGACAAAAACCAAGCATTAACATATAATGACAAAAGATTCAAAAGAAGTATCCTTTCTAATTACATGCACTACATTAGCAGAGGTATACATATACAGTGGTACCTCGGGTCACGAACGCTTCTGTTCACGACCAATTCGGGTCACAAACAGCACCGTTCGCAAAATTTTGCTTCCGTTTGGGAACTCCGCATCGGGTGACGAACAGGATCCGCGGCCATTTTCCCTGCTGTGACACGTGGTC